CATGGATTGGAGTAGGTTCGACCATCGGATCCGCAAAGTGGTGAATAGAATCGTGTGCAGACACAATCGTCTTCAGTTTCTGGGACTTGGATTTCTTCGCCGCATTCGCCGATGTATTTGAGTTTGAGATCCTTGCGCTTACGTTTCTCGCAGTTCAACAAACATTCATTCGAGTAGGTTTGATCATCACTAGCGCAGACTGGCAAATATTCTTCGGTGCAGATACATAGCTCGTCGACCAGCAAATCATCAGCTTTTTCGTCGCATTCGCCGTAGAATTTGATTTCCAAGTCCTTGTTGCGCTTCTTTTCACACTGGAACAGGCAGTTGTTGTAGTAGGTGGTGTTGTCGGATGCACAAATTGGGACGTATTCACGAGTGCAGACACATTCGTTCGGCGGTGGGGCAGAGTAGGTCGATTGCATCAAAGCAGCGACGCCAATAAATACGATTAAATTGCTCACTCCCATTTTTTCGATTTGGTTGATGCTTTTGAATATTCCGGTAGAATTGACGTTTTGAACACAGTTTTTTAAACGTTTTAATAGCGGGTTGGTTTTCCAACTAGTTAACTTCAATTGGATTTCTCGTTTGAATTCTTCGTTTCGATTGAATTGTTCTCTTCGATGTCTTCGATTGAACTGATGATGAACCTTACTACCGACGAATATTTATACGAATTTTTCGAGTGCGTTGAAGCCACAAAATGTTCTTATCAAACATCTTGATACAGTATTGTGACGAACCCAGCAACCAACCGTTGATCGATTTTTGTTTTATTGCAGTCTTTTGAGTACTACAGTATTTTTTGCCGGGCGAATAAACTGTAAGAAACAAAGTACTTGAGTTTTGAAAATAAAAGCTGTTTACACTTGCCCGAATTTAGCACACACAGTAAGAAGAGTTCTCATCGATGACGTTGAAAAGTCGAATTTCAGTCGGGCAATTTATGACAATGACAATTTGTCAGATGAAATTAGCTGTTACTAATTGTCCATACATTTCGAAGGCGTGATCATGACGTATAGCTGGTTATACCAATTATTACATAAATTGTGAATCGCGAGAAGGTGACCGAAATTAGGCTCACACCATTTGTGGTTTTGAACACTTATAAATAGACAATTAAAGCCATAATTCTTGAAGAGAAATCTGGTGAGACAGACATGAGAACGGATCATAAATTATTGTGGAAAATTGTGAAACAATTTTGATCGAGAAACATCTATGGACGAATTATTTTTGGAACACTGATTAGGGAGCTCCCCATAATTTTTATCGACTGAGTAATCAAACTATTTAGTGATGGAATTGATCATCGGAGTACCTTTTTGTAAATATTTCATGTAAAAAGCGGTTTTTCATGCTTCAGAGTATGTGCTTATTCTCCAATACTCCCGGAAAATAACTGAGTATTGTTGAAATGAAAAATTGATAAACAAAACACTACGTGACTTCGATAATGAATCATTGTTATATAATTCTACGATTTCGCAGCCCCGTAAGCTCAGTAAACAATGTTTACATCAAAATAACTCTTTGTTTTTTTTCGACCTTACCTTGAACACCTTTGATTTGGATTTGCCTGAACGTTCAAGATTATGTCGAGAGGGACCTCCATTTTCAACACAAACATGTTCGTTTCGCTTTGTTTCTAGATGTTTCTTCGTCACCTAGATAATCTAAGGCTAATGACAATACAATCAAGTAAACTCTCCTTTCTGTCAAACATCGTACTGAAGTATAACATACAGAACTCGCCATAGGTTCTTTAGAGGGCGCTTTGGTCAACCGAGTTCCAACCGAATACATGTATCAGTATACAAAGCATTCCATTGTTGTTTTTCTTCGATCTAACGAAATAACCTCTTCAAACGAGATGCACGCTCAAAACAAATGATTACAATGAATCAAGCGAATCATAACTATATCCCGATGTGCATGGGAAGTCGTCTCGTTAAATTTCAATTGAAAAGGGCATTTCACCAAATTAAAAACCAATTTTGTTTCTTCGTTTTCATCGAAATTATGTTCGCAAAAATACTTTTCCAGGATGACAACTAAAAATATGTGATTTAAGATTGTGATCACAATTATTTTCAATTCATAAAGTTTTGATTGATTCCTGCTTTCTTAGCTTAACATAAAATTATTCTCTAAATAAAAACCGAATCAAGTTATATTTGTAATTAAATTTTATTCACCGCCTTTCCATCCAGCGTTTGAGTTTCAATAAATAAATCAATTTACAATAGATGTTTGCTTAAAATATTTCAAAAGCTGGTCGCATGTCCAATATCAAATGGCTTTCTTTCGTTGTTCGCAGCCCAAGAAGCATTTGTTCAAGTAAGTTTTGTTGAGTTTCAAACGGAATTGACATTTCAGTGAAATGCATTTTCTCGTAGAGTGTACCAAATGTACCAAATTGACTGAAAGCTGAATTGAAAGTTAAACGCCTGCTCGAGGAATTTTGCGCCAATATGTGTGAATAAATTAGCTATGAACACACATGTGCTAAAAAAACTACAGCTGGGTGTAAATCAGTAATCTATAAAAACCATTAACCAATTATTGCAGTAAATGGTTTTTTCAATGAGAAAGTTGCAATTGAATGAAAATAAATTTTCAAATTGGAAAAATTGTTCGAAAAAGGGGAAAAAAAACTAAAAAAGCGTTTGTGTTGATTCATTTTATTTCGCACATTCCGTTCCAGCGGTCATTGTACAATGAATAAATAGAATATGTTTACGACTTATTTCAAACCAAAATTAATATCAGTTCTGGTTATTCAACTACCTAAACTATGCGATATTTTAACAAATTTTATCAACTACTGATCGCTGCATTCACCTTTGTGGTCGACTTTCAAGCTCTGGTGACTCTTTTTGGCGCAGTTGAATGTGCATGGATTGGAGTAGGTTCGACCATCGGATCCGCAAAGTGGTGAATAGAATCGTGTGCA